TTTCTGGGTATGTTTTATTTTCGGGGAAACACGGTATTACAACCATTCTGGAGAGAAATTACAGAACTGGTCTCAGTAAACATGAATTCCGGCTGAGGAGATCATCTAAATTACACATTTTCTTGCTTATAGATTTCTTAATTGTATATAAGTGCTATTTTTTAAAGTTATTTCTTATAAAATTCTCCTAGACATTAATCTAATCATTTCAAATTTCCATGTAACAGCAAGTGACTTCAATCAAGTGCTTGCTAGGGCTGATACAAATGTAATGATATTTAACTATAATGTAATATTGACAGAATTACGGTAGTCAGACTGGTCCATGGATGGGTAGGCACAATTAACCTGGTAAATGAAGCACACATATAACTGTATTATCTTCAATGGATTTACTATTTAATGATTTTAAGACAGCAAACAGTCTTGAAATATTTGAAGCCAAAAAAAACGCAGGAAATGCTACAATAATTAAAAACTCATGGTTTAGTTTGTTTCTTTTTAAGCTTACTCATGGTAAGATGTGGTGGTTTTAAAGCAAGACTATCTTGAACAGAGAGTCAATTAATAAACAAATAGTATATGTTCATAGATTAGGTATTACTACTATTTGAAATTGTAAATATATTTAAAGAATTACTCCAAGCACCACCACCACCAATTTAGTGATTTGAAGTGGTCATGGTGCCTGGAGTCTGTATATGCTATGAAATGCTGCACATACGGAGATTAAGCTCTTTCCGGCTGGTGGTGTGTTACCACCGCCAGCACTGTCACTGGGGCATCATTAACCAGTTCGGAATAGCTAATATCAAATCTGTATATATTTTTAAGACAGATGCTTATCCATTGACTGAGTATTGGATATAGTGGTTACAGAGCTGGGTTATGGTTGCCTCGGGCCATAGGCAGAATGCCAGATTAGGGCCTCCTCCTAGAGCCTTGGGCTTTGTTTCTGAGAGTGGCGTTTGTTTACTGAGTGTTGTGTGTGTGTGGAGGATGGAGCAAGCTGTATGGGACGAAGCTGAATGTGTCTGTATGTGCTGGATTAGTGTTCTGTGTGATGGCTGATTTTTCTGTGTCTAGTGGAGTCTGAGTGTGGCTGAGTGTTGTGTATGTATGTACCCTCACTCCTGCTTACCTTCCCTGGTGGTACAGTGGAGGGTGAAAAGTATCCCTGGTGGTACAGTTAAATGGACACTCCAGGCACCCAGACCACTTCTGCCCATTGGAGTGGTCAGGGTGCCAACTCCCACTATCCTTAACCTTGCAAGTGTAATTATTGCAGTTTTTATAAACTGCAATTAATTACCTTGCAGGGTTAAGTCCTCCTCTAGTGGCTGTCTATCTTAGAACATGAGAAATGTCTTACATTGGTTCAGTCTTCTCATTGAGAGTGCCACTACTTTGGAACTACTTTCCAAATAATTTTACATTGTTTTTCTGTAACCACTGAAAAGAGCTGTCTCTATTGACAATCAAACCAAATGTGTAACATGCTAAAGGCTTCGATGTTCTGTCTATGTTTTATGTATAACCTGATCACAGGACCTTGTTCCGAGTGCAAACTTGAAAATCATAAGTGGCAATGTTTTGTTTCTATAAAATTGTGTTTTTAGTACACACCATTAGGTTAGAAACACTGTTTGTATTTTCTGTACAGCAAGGTGTAGCCTTAACTAGTGAGTAACTAATAACACATTTCTTACCATATTTCTTTTGTGGCTTTGTGGCATTGTCCTCAAACACTATTAAAGTAAGAGTAGAGATGTGATTGTGTAAAAGCTCTTTAGATACTTTTTTTTTTTTTTTTTACAAAGTTATCGATGATGGCTTCTCCACACATACTAGCTTCATATAATTTAAACTTGAAGCTCACACATGAGCGGTCATATGTTTCACTGTGCATTGATAGAATACATTATAAGTGTACTAAATACAGAAGTTGACTGTGTGCATCAGTGGATGAATTTCATTCACTTTGTCAGTGTTTTTCAACAAAAAGTGAATTGCTGGGACTAAATTCAAATTTTCAACTAAATGAACAGCGCATACACAAACAGCTTTACCTTTAACAAAGCTACTTAAAATTACCGTTCTTTGCAAATAAATATGGGGATTCAGTTCCACCATATGAACATAGTTTGTTAAGCCGACCACTACATCACAGTACCCCAATATCGGTGGGTCCAACACTAATTTTAACATGGAAGATTTACATGCTAACTTGCAATACTTACTTGCAGTATAAACTGCTCCTCATTTTATGCTTTTCTGTGGTCACCTCCAAAGGGCACCCATAGTGGATGGATGGGGTGCTCAGCCCAATAGGAATCTGATTTTGATTCCAAATGTTCACAGAAAAAATGGAATTTGGGGTACACCCAGAACATGCATTTCCAAGACCAAAACATATACAAAATACAGTGAAAGGAACAGCGCACACACAAACAAAAATACAGCTTTATTTTCAAATTCAAATTTTAGTTGAAAATAGCCAAACTGTAAGCATACCATTTCCTGCCTATTCCTAAAATTTTCAATTAGCTATGAATTCATTGCAATTCACACTTCAAAGAATAACCTTGTGGATCTGCATACACTGCATTGGTACGATATTCACTACAGGCTGTTACATCACACCTTAGCATCTAATATGTCATTGAGAAAAACAATGATGACTTACAAACACTGTCTCCATCACAAGACGCTTCTACACTTCAAAGGTTCAATTTTGTAACTGACTGAATGAAAAACTTATACAATAAGTATTGAAGGTATAAACCAGATTAATAATGGAGTGACAAAAAGGGCAGAATTTGTCCTTTGGCGGGGCTATAATACAGTAAAATATATTACAGGAAATGTAAAGGTTTATAAATTACTCTACAACCTGGGGGAGAATGAATAAAGATTTGTGTTAGGAAATACTAGCCCTGAGCAGCAATAACTATATTGAAAGACTTCATTTCATGTAGATTGCAGGACACTGTGCACAGCCTTGAGCATTAGTCTGAGAATTCATCATAGGTGAGTTAATGTCATAATTTGCGAAGCTTTAAGAACTTCATTAGTTGAAAAATAGCTATGCAAGTAATTAGTGATAGACGCCGAAGAGATGAGAATATCTTTGTATTGCTTTTCCAAAATGTATTACATTTTAACATAAAAGCTAATTAGAGCTTATCTGTTCATCACTACACTAGGTTGACAAAGGAAGAACAGAAGGTGCATTTAAATTCAAAGTGTCGGTTTGAGCACTATACCAACTTTTTTTGCATGCAGAGGCTACCTTGAACCAATGCTCAGCTCAGAGAGTGGTTTATAACTGCAGTGATTTGTAACATAGTCTAGCAGAACCATCAATCAACCAATGAACCTCTCAGTTCTGGGCTGCCTTTATCAATTTTGTTTATATGGTGTGTGCAGATTTGCACGCAGAACTTGGAAGGATCTCTCTCCTTTCCAATTGGCCTCTGTCGATTACTCTAGGAGCTGGCATGGATGGTATCGTAAAATACAACATAAGCCCAGTAGAAAACTTTTTAAGTGTGTCAAGTAAAATACAAAGAAAATAAGAATGTGAGAAATTGGATGGGATAGGAGTTTTACAGGTAGATTAAGGTTTTTTTGTTGTTGCAGGAGTTGTTCAGAGTGCTAAACTGATCTTGTATGTGGCATGAGACATCAAGGCATCCACCCTTAACTATCCTTCAATGAACCCATTCATGTAATATTGGCGTGTTTCTGGTGTTTCATTGTAGGTGGGAGTAGCAATTTGTGAGCTACAGTTTTCAGACATCTTTGTCAGCCATTGGCAGAAGGCTAGGCAAATTCACAATCTTTCCAGGACACGTATCACCCCTAAATGATGATGCCACGTAGTAAATAGTTATATACAGCAGAAACAAATTCAGTTAATTCAATAATGAAGGAAGTTTCTTGTTTTTGAGTGGTGACATAATTTCCCTTATTCTTACTGCAAATGAAAATGCTGTCTTCAACAGGAAGAATTGACACATGTGTCCGGGAAAATATGTATCTGGCAGAGAATTCTTGAAAATGTAGTGGGGAAAAAATGTAACACCAGTGTTAGTCATTTCGGTTCTAAAGAAAGTAAAAAAAAAAATAACGTCTACTTTTCTAAAATGAATTTCTACAATTCACAATACATGCACTTTAAACAACAGAAGATACTTTAAATGACCACTTCTACTTTCTGCAGAGGCCATGGTGGTAGGAGTCTGGATGTGCCATGTTGATAAAATTTTGGCTGCGAAAGGCGTCCAGTGTCCTCCGAGGTTTTGAATCTAGTTAACCCTCCTCCCCCTTCATACAGGTGTGTAAATTTAGGTTTTGCATTATTTTAACTTTTTTTTGCACTTTTTCTGTATGTATAACCTGATCCACTATCTTGCAAGAGGTTTGTTTTGTTTTCAACCATATTGTGCATTGTATGAATAACCTGGTACCTCTAAGGACCTGCCTTCGCGGAAGTAGACCATTGTAAAGCGCTACGGAATCTGTTGGCGCTATATAAACGGCAATAATAATAATTTATTGGATTTACTGAAAGTGCGTTCCATTTTGAGACGTGGCACGCAGACAGCTTCATTGAGACAAAGTGGTCTGGGTGCCTACGGCGTTCCTTTACGTAAATAAACCACAGAACACGATACAGCTACCTGGAGCCATTATATTATACCAGGAATGGTGGGAAAATACAGCATTAAATTGCATTGTTTTGACTCAAATATCACAAGTGGGCAAAATAAACTAGTTGGAGTGATTTTGCAATGTGTCTGTTTTTTTTTTTTTTAGTTAGGAATTCTCTGGCCACTACCCATAATTCCCAGTGCTGGGATAACCCTATGAGTAAAGCCATCACCCTGCCTGCCTGCCGGCATGCTGGAGCACCTGATCTTAGGGAATGCAGAGCTGCCACAAACCACACCCCTTATGGTTACGTCACTCACTAGCCACCTCCCCCAAGTGGCCACGCCCACCCAACAGCCACCCCCTCCTCCTGACAGCTCACGTGACCCGAGAAGTGACGTAAGAGGAAGAAGTCGCCATTAGAGGGAGGCGGATAGACGGTTGCCAGAGTCCTTGGTCTGTCACTAGCGCTCTGTCACCCCTCCCCCCCTTTCCCCGTACCGGCCTCGGGAGCCCGGAGCTGCGTGTGGGCCTAGATTGCGGCCTGGGTTCCCAGCTCCAGCAGTCTCCATGGCGGCAGGAGGAGCGGCGGCGGCGGCCGGGGCTAGCAGGACCTACTCGTTCAAGGTGGTGCTGCTCGGGGAGGGCTGTGTGGGCAAGACCTCGCTGGTCCTGCGCTACTGCGAGAACAAGTTCAACGACAAGCACATCACTACCCTGCAGGTGGGACCTGGCTGCTGTGTGTGTGAGAGAGCAACTACAACTCCCACAATGCTCTGCCAGCCACAGCACTGCCAGAGCATCATGGGACTTGTAGTCCTAGAACTGCTGGGATTTTCCATCCTTGAGGATGTAGAGTATAGCAAGAGTGGCCTAAGGTAGACAAATCCCAGTGTGTTGTAAAACTATTTATCCCTTTTATGTTTCTTTAAGATGGCAAAGCATCATGGGAGTAGTAGTTCTTCAGCAGGTGGTGGTCCATAATATATATATTTTTTTTAATTTGGCTATTTAGAGCAGGGGTCCTCAAACTGTGCTGAACTACAACTCCCATGATTCTTTGAATTACATAGATAGCCAGAGAAGCATGGGAGTTGTAGCTCAGCAACATGGAGGGGGGAGTTTGAGGACCCCTGATCTAGAGCCTGGCGTACCAGGCATGTGTGTGAGTGCACATGAGAACACGTGACTTCCTCAGAGTTTCCAGGAACACTCACACTTGTAGTGCATGTGGTCCTCCTGTTGCAGTCTGTTTTTGCAGGTTGGCAGAGCATCCTGGGTAACTTAGTCCATAATAAATGTAGTGCTGAAAGTTACTACCAGTCCCTGTTTCACAGATACCAGCCCAAGTGGTCCCTGTAAGAATAATATTCTGCTTGCAAATAGAGCTGTTCATGTAATGATCTTATCTGTTCACTGACACTTACCCATTGAAAAGGCTTGTGTGTTTTTTTTTTTTTTAATTTTTTTTCTTCCTCAATCTATTTCTATAGATTTTCTACAAAGTGCTCATTCTCCTGTTTTGTTTCATATTCCATTTCTGTCAATTTGTGCATAAAGCATTTTGTCCACTAATACGTTTGGAGAGTGTGCAGGTCAAATATCACTGCAATACAATACTGGAATTATTTTGCTTAAGCGAAGATTAGAAGTGTATATAACAGCTGTAATTTGTTTTGTATAAAAACTTTACAGAAGTCTAACTTCATATAATGTGAACCCGTGATGTGGATGTAAAGTTCATCTTCAGTTTTATGTATATATTTTTTTTTTTTTTTTTGTACTTTGACCCCTTTAGATAATGCATTTAAATAAATTACATTCTCTCTAAAATCTCTTGCAGTTTCTATAGTGCGCTTTCCACACACTAGAATGACTGAATCTAGTCAGAGTATTCTATATCTCATAAACTCAAGGGCTAATGGGATTATAGTGTATCTATTGAAACCTTTTATAGACCTAGACAACCAGAATGACTTAGTGTACACAGCAGTCTTTTACATCGTCAGATAAGAGACCGCATCTATTCGCAATGAAGTGGTTTTGGTGCTTAGTGTTCCTTTTTTTTAAAAAGCAACTATTTTTTTGACTCACCCCTTACTCGTATGTCCATTATTACACTTTTTGTTTCTGATATCCTTGGGTGTTATGCTACTTTGCACAGCTGTGCCTCAGGCTGCTTTCTCCCTAACCCAGAAATATTTCTAGGGCTGCACTGGTATTGGGTGCATTTTCTCGTATTCGTATCAAACTTTCTTAGTCTCCAATTCTCTAGGAACTCGGAAAAATCTCATTTATGGAAGCATGGCAGCTAACCAAGTAATTGAAATTGCTACAACATCCCTGAGGCATCTCGCCACAAACAAGGTTTACTGAACTGAATTGTTAAGAATTCACTATAGAGTTACAAATTGTAGAATGTTTCCCCATTGGTTGTCGTGGTCTGTTGATCAACCTATTGCTTTCAGTTAGAAGCTGAAATGCTTTACAACAGTTTTCTGTTCGCTTGTTAAGGTAGCCACCTCACTTTTTCCTGTAGAAATCATAATTTTTTTTTTTTTTTTTTAAATGGTACTTGCTTCTGCACCAGTGCCTAGATTCCTTCAGTGCTGCCAGCAGCTCCGGCTGATGAGAGGAGCATTGGCAACTACGTGGTGGGCACGCATCCAAATGCTTCACATAGGAAACCATTGAAGTCAATGCTTTTCTAAGAGCGTCTGCATCATGTGACCGTTTTACTTGGTCCGTGCAGCTAAAGCGCCTCTAATGGCTGCCAGGAACACGACGACTAGAGGTGGATTTAAAGCATCACTGTCACCCTCTGGGGACTTTGCATAACTTACAAAGTCCCTCAACAGTTACCTCTCCTCTGGCGGCAGAGGAGGAGAACAGGCAAAAGATAAAATTTACTTACCTGATCATGTCCCTCGCTGGCACCTTTATCTTCCGGCTGGTCCTTGTGCGCCATGAGCTGACGTCACTGCTGTACTCTCATGCCTGCACTGGAGTACTATATGGAGGAACCATAGAGACCTTGGGATCTTCCATATATACAGCTAATATCCAACATGTCTTTAGTGACTGCTTCGAGATTGACACTTCTAGATGCCCAGTGTCTAGAAGTATTAGGCTTAGGAAAAATACTGAGACAAAGTAGTTCCTACTTTGTCTCCATATATCTTTTGCCTGAGTTGGAATTTCAGCCAGTGTGAGTATTAAATAAAGATTTTATTTTTATGAAATACTAATTTTGCATGGATGGGGTGAGTGGGACCGACAGTGCTGCTGTACCCGGCAGTGTAAACATTGTGGTTTTAAGGAAACTACAATGTTGTCAAGGTTCAATGAAAGGATCACTGCACCCAGACCACTTCATTGAGTTGAAAGTGTCTTGGTGACTTTAGTGGTCTATTTAACTACTTGCCACCACTAACGCACGAAGCTGCTGCCCAGACCCTGTTGTAAAAAGCTCTGAATGATCCTGTGATAAACACTTGGGTGGGCAGTGCTGAATGATTAATATACAAAAATAAGTCCTGCGCTCAAACTCCTACAACTCCTGCTGAATGACCGCACATATAGCTGCGGGAAGACAGAGCATGGAGAGACACTTTTGCTAGCACAGTATAGATCATTTTACAACTCTTCTGAAAACTGCTGCTCATTCTACATTTTATACTTAAAGTGGCTCTGTCACCTCAAACATACCTTACTCATATTGTTTCTTTTTCTCTTTCGGAGTGCTTTTCTTCATTTCTGAACCAGTTCTCTTCAAAACATAAGACAAAGTAGGGTACTAATTTGTCTTATTGTGATGTAGTTCAGAAATGGTGAAAATTAATCCTGTGAGAAGAAACAATGCGTAAGGTAAGTTTGAGGTGACTTTAAATATACATATTTGGGTGATTGTGATATTGCCAAGTCGCAAGTGGGGAACTCTGCCATGAGGTGCTTTAATGGTTTTTATTTTATTTTTGTCAGATGGTTTGGCACGGAACCCATGCATTCTCACCCAAATTCATCTTCCTAATATTAGGTACTTGTAGACACAAGGAGGTAATTATTTTTTCATCCTTTTTAGATGTTCTGCTAATTTTCCAAATCATAAGTAATGTAGGCATTTTTTATTTTTTTTAAAGAAGGTTGCTTTCAGTTTCAAACGTAATCTGTTTATTAGGAGACCTCCGTAAAGCAGCAGGAACCTCGCTGCACAACTTCCTGTCTAGCATCCTACAATGTGCCTCAAGTTTCTACTGTTTTTTTTTTTTTTTTCCTCCCCTTGCTATTGGCTGCCCTGACCTAGTCTTGGTGAGAGTATCTGTCAGCTATTGATTCAATGGCTGTCTTGCACAGATCTGTAAATATAACCTGAGACATTGCATGATTGTAAACAATAATGTAGTGGACTCTATTGCTCAGTGGTTAGTTTCAAACATGAAAGATGTTCTTTTTGTTATGCTTGCGTGACTTACAGTTTACCTAAAAGATTGTTCAAAGTGTGGCTTAATAATGTATTATCCAAGTATACTATAAGGTTTCACCATTTTTTGCTTGGGGTAGCTTTGCTTTGACTCCATCCCCTGTGGTTCTTAAATTTTGTGTTTGGGTAACAATCAGTGAGAAAATCAACCAACAGAGGCTACATTAACAGTTTTCTTCTGTGTACTAGAACTTTGGTATTCTAAGTAAACAGACAGGAACAACTCAGAAAAAAGCACCAATTGATAACCAGTAACATGCATTTGGTTCCTGCAGTTTGCCGGGAGCTGCTATGATAAATAAGCAGATGTTACATTTATCATGCATTTTTTTTGGATTGGAGCAGCATATCTTGGTGCAAGATTTTCCTTACTGAATATGCTAATAAGTGCAGCTTTAGTAGTACCAATCTATGCATAATGGACAGTTTTTGAAACTGGAGATTCACCCCCCCCCCACCCCTCCTTCATCCTACAACATTTGTAGTTTCATTGGTCCTACACTTTAAGATGCCATCCTTGCGCAGAGCAATCCATTTGAGATTTGTTGGACATTCACACACTGGCTGGCAATTTCTGTAATCTTCCCATGTTCAATAACTGAGGAAAAAAACTTTTTGACTATTGGAATATTCATGTTCTTGCAATCAAAATACATTTTTTTTTTTTTTTTAAACCAATTGTTGTAGTCATTGAGGTTTTTAAGGAAAAACTTTTTATTTATTTTTTTTTAAATTCTTCCAGGAGATGTAAGACGGGAAGTGAACTTTTGCAAACAGAGGGGATTTTCTAGAAAAACAACTTTTTTGAAATTCAAAAAATTCCATCAGTTTGCATGCCATTTTTTGTACATTTTAGAAGCTGCTTTTCTTAATAGTCTAGCTAACTCAGAGTTAAGGTGACTGTCTTCCTGTGCTAGCCATCTGTTATCTAAACGTTTTAAAGTACTCATTATTTCACTTGGATTTGGATCCAACTTTTACAATCCAATGAGGATATCATTTGTAACGAATAACCAAAAAAAATAAAAAAAAATACAAGATGATGGTTTTCATAAGCTTATGGAAAAAATATAAAGGTGCGATGCCCAACAGCTAAGGGGATCTGTTTTCCTTAGGGTTAGTTAGCAAGCTTTAGTGGTTTTGGTGCCAGGATTGCCCTGTTGCAATATAGTGTGAAGTAGTCTGGTTTTGAATGCTTTGACTTCTTAGCTGGGGTCTGACATGAGAGTGCTGGATTTTCCAACAGCTCATTGGATGAAAGCATCGGCTGGGAGCAGAGCATTGCAGATACCAGGTAATGTGATTTGACTACTTACCATGGGTTGACCAGGGCACTCCTGGCACCCCAACCATCCCAGGAGACTCTAGTGGCTATGGTGCTTTGAGTGTTCATTAATAGGAACACTCCAAGCATCATAACAATTACAAGTTCTCCAAACACCTAGCAAAGGTATAAATGTGTGGAGTATTACGGTACTCTGGAAATAGAGCATAATACAAACCTGGAGTCTTGGAGGCAGTAGAACACACAAGTCCTGTGAAACTTGCCATTAGAGGAACACTATGCACTATAACCACCACACTAGTTGCATGATCTGTGTAGAAATAGAGATGCCGGGTGGGACCATTGTACAGTTAAACAAAGTATGAAGTTACAGTAGAATGCGCACACATAGAGGCCTTTTTTGGCAGCATTGTCAAGAATGCAGCATTTTGGAAAATTCTCGGTCACTTAGAGGTGATTATGTACCTTCTGACATAATATAAGATTTGTGTCAAATGCTGATCAATCTGTATTTGTTTATAACCTTCATACTTTAATACATGACAATTGCCTGTAGATAGAAGCCAGCCAACCGCTATTGCTCATGTACAGATCACAGCTAAAAATATTTATGGGCATAAATATATAGGAAGGAGGGATTAAGGGCTGGGGGGTGCCTTTTCTCTCGTGTTCATGGAAGCAGTATAACAGGAAATAAAGGGTGGCATTACTTCTCAACTACTGTTGTCATGTACACAATTGATACTCAAATTTTCACTTCAGTTTTCCCTCCTAAGCAAGGTACTAAATCTCACTATGTCATAACTTTTTTTTTTTTGATTATATATTTGTGACAGTCTTGTCAAAAATATAACGTACAGTACAGGTGGTGCAAAAACACAAAGCATACACTAACGTGTGTACATACAGTTTACGGTTGGCTTGAACGTTGAAGAATGTTGCTGTCTGTTTCCCTGTAGGGGAGTTAGACACCCTTTCCATTTTCCATGGACACCTGTCTTTCCTTTGGATCCTATCGTATGCGAATATAAGTTACTGTTCCCATTGTCCCGTCCAGGCAGTAGCTAGAAGAAAGTCAGAGAGAGCAGAAAAGAAAATGAAGTAAAGGAGAAGGGAGTCCGGGTCGGCAGGGATAGGCCTCTTCAGGTCAGCCACTGTGCGTACCTACGATTTTGGGGTTACCTTGCTGGATGTTGACTTTTTTTATTTTGGGAAAACAAATGGTTATCTTTTATTTATATGTACCAATTTACAGGCAATGAATTGACAAATGATAGTATGGTGAATTTACATTAATCCAAAAGAAATACTTGAGCTTAAAATTCTAAAATACGAAGTCTGCCAAAAGCTAAATGTGGTCATAAGATCAATTATAAACCTTGAAGTTTATACAGATTGATATGCTTGTGATACCAATGATTACAATTTTTTTGTTTTTATAAATGATCTCCTGTATATTTCGTGATTTTTAAAAATATAGTGAAGATTAGTCACTGGCATTAATTCAGGAAAAATGAAGAGACCGCAAGTCACAAGGCGTTCATAAGATGTTACTACCAAAAAAGGGTGTTTCTCTCCATTTTAAACACATTGGTCAGCAATTTATTTTAATTTTAGACTTTTTGAGATAGATACGTTGCTATTCGCTTAAGTCAGTATTTCAGTAAATCATAGTGAATATCCTAATTTTAGACCAAAATAGGAGGAGACTTGGATAATGGTTCCAATTAGTCTGCTTTGGCCTTGAATTTGCATTTCACTTGAAATTTACTTTGAATTCCCTACAGTGCTGACTTTATTATAATTTAAACGAGTTCAGTGCCGTTGTTGTTGTTAACTAAACTGCAAAGCAAGTTTAGAGAAATGAGAAACAAATGAAAGTCAAATTATACAATCATGACAAACTGTTTAATTTCTCCTCCTCTGTTAATTTGCAGTAGAGATCACATTGCTGGAATACCACTTACATGACCGATTTGATTAACACGATGCCATCAGATTGCACCTTATGTCTGGAATGTAAAGACAAACTTCCATGTGTTATTGTTTTCTTTTATTAGTGGACGAAAGTATTGGATCTTTTACCTGGGTCATCATGTATGCACTTCTTGGATAATCCTTCTGTTAGTTCACAAAACTGTCGGTACCCTGTTTAAATTTAAATGGATGTAGCCAGAACAGATCATCCAGGCTGGATTGCAGTTGGTTTTGTTTGTGTGTGGTTTCTTTTTATTTGTTGTTTGCAATAATTTAGAGACCATAAATGCAGTTTTTATGGGTAACCAGGGTTTGGTTGCACTGAATTCCCGTTCACCATTTGGTTACCTAAGAATTGACAGAGGCTCAGTAACTTCATTTTGTAAGTGCCAAAATGATCCATGCGTTTTGAAAATGGTTTGGGTAAAACAGTTGTAAGAAATTACGACCCTCTGCTCTTACAAGGATATTCTTTTAGGGAATCGGTGACAAATAAGACACAAACACAAGTGTATAATAAAATGTATTGTTAATATTGATTTAGGATACTGTTACAGCTTTTAGGATATACACAATACACATAACCACATCCAGTCCAAAACCAAAAGATACATAGTAAAAGGGCAATGCATATACATTTAAATGAAGATTTTCCCCTTGCGCCTTCATGTTTGTTAGTCTGAGAGAGTCACTCTCAGTTCATCATGGCACAACAGCTTGCTGCGCTGTCCTCCCCAAGAGAGTGACCTCTTTGGCTGTTGTCCTTTTTAAAGACTGATTCTTGCTGTCATTAACTACAAGTCCCAGAATTAATTTTCCCTCCCAAAAGTGGCTTATCCTGCCCTCTTTTCACAGAGTTCCATCTTTACACAAGTCCTTTTCTTTGATCTCTTCCCTCCGGTTACACTACAACACTGTGTAAAAAGTGACCAGTTAGGGTTGGTTTCTGGGTAGATTGGATAGGATGGCTTGGTTTAAAACAAACTTCATGGTTATACCTAGATGTTAATTACTCTGATCTTCTGATCTCCTGATAACATGACCCTTGAAACCTTTATAGTAAAGATTTGTACCCATTGATGACAACCTCCGTTAAAATGTAAATGGAATTCCATTGTGAAACCAGATAGCTTGTTACACAACTGACCTTCACAAAGCATATGTCAATATATTAAAATAAAAAAATATAATTTTTAAAGGAACCCCATTTCTTACACAGTGACTGACCACTCCATTTGAACAGTAAGAAGATATCAGATGCTCCTTAACCATCTATAGCACTGCTCCGCTTATCCTGTAGGCAAGATTTTCTTAGGATGCAAAGACCCCACATATGGACTTCCACCATAACCACTAATCTCTGCAGTAATGGTTATGATACCCCCCTTACACACACACTGGTCCAACTGTTTGCTGATGATTGGCAGCATACTTGGAACCACTAGGGCCCAGATAACCTCTGGTGCAGGACTTGCATTATTGGCTGAGAGCGATCATCTGACACTCTTAGCCAATGAGCTAGCCCTTCGGAGATCTGGCTCTCATGGGAAATTGACCTGCATCTAGCAGACCCCAGGTAAGCTGTGTGTGTGTGTATTTATATTTTTTGGCAACTGTTTTTGGGGGTGGGGTTGCCAGGACAATCCTGGCACTCTATAGTGGTTATGGTGCTCTGAGTGTTGCATTTAGAGATTTTTGAACTCTCAGACATTAAAGTTTCCCATTCCTTATGTTTAGATCTTTATATGCAATTTTCAACATGACTTCTTACTGAATTAACACTTTGTTGCTTCCCCCTATGGCAAAGTAGGTAGAACTCAAAATATCATGATGTATGCTATAAATAAAAAAAATTCTGTTTTAAATAGAGGGACAGTGCTTTTTCTAATTGCTGTTTGTATATAATGCCTAATGAGCGTGTGTAACGTGACAGATATTTATATTTCTTTATATTGTCCTTACCCTAAAAATGTAGGTGAGGATTGTGCAATCTAGATGGGTTTGGTTGTGAAACCTTCTTGTAAAGTATTAATGTTTGTGGTTTTTTTTTTTTTTTTATCTGTGGTTTAAAAAAAATAATTTGTATTTTTTTTATTTTTCCCCAGGCATCATTTTTAACAAAGAAATTAAACATTGGTGGAAAAAGAGTGAATCTTGCAATATGGGTATGTTTATCATTAAGCATCTAATATGTGCCTTCATATTTTTGCCTTGAATGAGAAGACAGAATATAAAATCCTGCAAGAGGAAGTGATGCTAGGGTTGAATTAGTGTAAACCTAAAAGAAATATAAACTGCTTTAAAAAAAACAAAAAACTTGTCCACCCCACGAAAAAAAAACCCCCACCAGAATAGAATGAACTGAAGCGAATGACCATCATGTGAAGTCACACGGAGTGAATTTTTTTTAAATTTTTATTTTTTATTTTTCTCACTCCATTGTGTGAACATAGAATGTGACGGCAGATAAGAACCGCCCATCTAGTCTGCCCAATTTTCTAAATGCTTTCATTATTATTAGTCCCTGGCCTTATCCCTATTGCTAGGATAGCCTTATGTCTATCCCCGCATGCTTAAACTCCTCCACGGTGTTAACCTCTACCACTTCAGCTGGAAGGCTATTTCATTCATCCACTACCCTCTGAGTAAAGTAATACTTCCTGATATTTATTTTTAAATCTTTGCCCCTCTAATTTTAAGACTGTCCTCTTGTTGTGGTAGTTTTTCTTCTTTTAAATATAGTCTCCTCTTTTACTGTGTTGATTCCTTTTATGTATTTAAATGTTTCTATCATATCCCCCTGTCTCGTCTTTCCTCCAAGCTATATATGTTAAGATCCTTTAACCTTTCCTGGTAATGTTTATCCTGCAATCCATGAACCAGTTTAGTAGCCCTTCTCTGAACCCTCTCTAAGGTATCAATATCCTTCTGAAGATACAGTCTCCAGTACTGTGTACAATACTCCAAGTGAGGTCTCACCAGTGTTCTGTACAATGGCATGAGCACTTACCTCTTTCTACTGCTAATACCTCTCCCTATACAACTAAGCATTCTGCTAGCATTTCCTGCTGCTCTATTACATTGTCTGCCTACCTTTTTAAGTCAACTGGTACCCAGTCCGAGGCTTACTGACTGATGCCGTGGACTGCAATGGAAGTTAAGGGGCAAAGCTGACGGCACCGGGCTAAAGACGAAAGTTGAACGGTTTAACCGTTTCAGTTAAGCCGGGACCTTCTCACACCATAACAAGTTCTCTCAGATGAAGTTGTTATGGTGCCCAGAGTATTCTTTTAACCGTTTCATAACTAGTGTCTACCACAAAAAATGCTCTCTCTCCACTAATAGTCCTACTTTTCATTTGTAGCAATCCATAGTGAATGGGTAACTTGTCTCTTTATTCAGAGTGTGCCTCTGTCTAATGCTCCCCAAAACCTTAAACATTGTGTGAGTGAAGCATGCGTCAAGGTTAATGGAGTCAATGTGCGTTTCCTTAATATTTCCTCCAATCCTCCTTCACCCAAGTTAAAAAAACAAAAAAGACAGACTTGGTGCTGCTTCATCACTGTATGAAACTGTGTTGAAGGGGTTAATAATGTATTTGCCATTCCGTGATGGTGAGTGATAGACAACTGCCTTCATTGACCTCTGATTAAATAATAATTTGCTAGATTTGTTTGTACTTATTTTATCACCAAAACTCTCACATTTAAATTGAGGAAACATTCCATGAACAATATCTGGTCATACTTTCGTCTTCTTTCTTACTCAGGATACTGCAGGGCAAGAAAGATTCCATGCGCTCGGTCCCATCTACTACAGAGACTCTAATGGAGCTATTTTAGTATATGACATTACAGATGAGGATTCGTTCCAGAAGGTAAGCTTGCCATGTCACCATGTCTCATACTGTGCTCTTTAACCATTATTTTGGTTTCCAGCCAGTCCTTATCACCTAACTACTCAACACCTCTAAATGTGTTCTGCAGAGTCATTCTCTTTAGATTCTTATTTTCATGCTGTGTCTTTGTCTCTGTAAATAGACGCTCTTCATTGGTTCTCACTTAGGTTGTCTCACGTGAAAGGTAGTAACATGACTGACCCAAATATAAACTTGGAAAGTCAATGTTTGTAAGCTTGTGACCATTCCATTAGTGCAACAGCATGTGATAACTGAATCCTATTAATGCAAAAGTTACACTCTCAGCACCAACTCATAAATGCAGGTAATAGGTTTTGGTCTTATTAATATGCGGTGTAATTTTTTTTTGTTTTTGTTTTTTTTCCCCCCATACTCATTTTTACGGTTTTGCACAAAAAAGTTTTCAGAATGCTACTGGCACCATAAGGCACCTTAGCTACACCCTCTCATGTCAGGCTACTTATCAAATGTATGCATGCAGCACGGTTCCTTAATCCAAACTAAAAACCATGTTTTAAAGAATAAAAAACAAACAAGCACTCTTTTTGGGCCATAGTAATCCTTACTGAACTGGTCAGCTCTCTCTCCTCCCCCCTGCCTAAATCCCAAAACTGGAGGAAATAAAAATTGAACACTTATCACCTTTCTATCACTGAGGCAAAGTTCTCCTGGCAACCCGATCTTCACCCCAATTACATCACTCCCCTTAGCTGAAAGGGGAGGACATAGAGTGCATGGAGGCTGACACCATTGGACGTTTGTCGCCAGCAGGCGACTTGCTGACAAATGTATAAACGCACAGAGCTGACCTAAGCCAGGCTAGAATTCTTGGTGCTAATGATCCACCAATGCCCCTGCTGGAGGTGATGTCACACTTGTGTGCTGTGTTTCAGAAACGCTCAAGTGGTAGCTTTAGTGGAATCACTAAAGTGGTCATGGTGCTTGAAGTAACACATTAAATTACTAGTCATGCTAACATTGCAGCACATAGTAAAAAAGGGACAGTGCACCCAGACCACTTCAGTGAGCTAAAGTGGTCTGGGTGCCTACTGTGTCCCTTTAAATTGAACCACAAATGTCGGTGAGTAATATATAACAAAGACCTGTAATTTTGTATACTTGTTTTATAGAATCAAATTTGAGGTGATCAAGTGTATTCCGCAGCCTTTTTGTTAAGCTCAATAACTGTATAGTTTAAACTGCCATATACATATGACATTCCATGGATACTGAACAAAAGTTGTACGTACACTACAAAATAAGATGGATATTTTGGTGTTTGTTTTTTGTGTGTGTATATTTCTAAATTTCTCTTGTTTTAAGGAGACTATAATTATTTACTCTGCCCCCAGGTTAAAAATTGGGTGAAGGAACTCAGAAAAATGCTGGGAAATGAAATCTGTTTGTGTATAGTAGGTAGGTTACTTAGACGCCATACAAAATGGTAATTCTGTGTATTGCGTGGTTTTCTAACTTGGCCTTGCTAATTAACGGCTGTTTCTAACAGGTAACAAAGTAGACTTGGAAAAAGAGAGGCATGTCTCCATTCAAGAAGCAGAAGCGTAAGTTGTTGTGTAGTTGTTTGTAGCTCAAGGATATAGACTGGATGTTATTTTCTAAAATATTCCAATTCTTTTTAAAGGTATGCTGAATCTGTGGGAGCAAAGCACTATCACACTTCAGCTAAACAGAATAAAGGAATTGAAGAACTATTCCTTGATCTTTGTAAAAGTAAGTCAAATCTGTATATTTAAAATTATATTCTTTATTTTAGTTGTGCATAGATAATACAGACAGGCTTGCATTGCTACATCAGCTGGTGCAGACATTTCAGCTGACATAGAGAAACTGTTGCGTGGCCTTCGATAACATTGCACATTTTCATGGAATAAGACAGAGTAAGATTAAAGTAATAATAACAAGATGGCTAGCCTGTCAGTCGCATAGGAAGGTAGACTTCGAGACAAGTCATGATAAACATACTGACTTTATGGAGCATAAGAAATCAAACTTAGCTAATGGGGACTTTTCCAATTTGCCACTTTGTATATAAACAAGACCTGAAATGTCACGGTCTCCTCCGTGGTTTCTGATTTGTGCTGCAGCCGGTAGCGGGCTGCAGATCAAACTGTCTGATGTTTGTACAGGAATCGCCTGCTCTTTGCACCGTGAGAGTCGCCGTCCTGTGCCGGGAGTGTTGAGGCAATACCCTTTGTGAGCAATCACTTGTGGCAGAGCAGCTTGGCGTTCTCAGAGTGCCAGCATTCTCCAGAAGGCCGTAAATATGTTATCCAGCCTTGGCACGATGTCTGTCAGCCCACCACAGCAACCGGGAGAGCACATGGCGTCCACCGTGATGCTTATCTCAGAGTCAGTGGTTGCTCCACAGGAGTGGACATGGACCACCCGGCTCGACTGTGAGGAGAGCGGCCGTCTCTCCCCAACTTCGTCACCTGCAGGCTGCGGGAAGCCACCTCAGACTCAGTGTCGAAATCGCTTGGTAAAGGTATCAAGATGTTCATCAGGGCATCCCCAGTTTGGGTAGCACCGTGTGGCGTCGATCCCTGCTTGTTTTCTGCAAATATTTCCCTGTTAAGCAGGAACCCCTGTATCGTGCGACTATTTAGTTTGCTGGTCAGACTCCGCCCCCCAAGTCAAATCATTTAAAAAAAATTTTTTGTTTTTACCTTTTATAAATTGTAATGGCATCTTATAGTGTATACAGAGTTTTCCATTTGTTGATTACAATATTCTGTTATCCTGAACCTAGTGGTGGAATTGTCTTGTAAAAAGGGTAGGTTGGAGAGGGCACATTATGCATCCTCAAAGCCATTTGGCCAATTGTCAAATGCTGCAACTCTGGAGCAAAGCAGTTGGCATGGTTTGTAAATATCTGATGTTAAAGGGAACCTCTGTGCACCACAACATCTTAAAGGGACACTCCAGGCACCCAGACCACTTCTGCCCATTGGAGTGGTCTGGGTGCCAACTCCCACTACCCTTAACCCTGCAACTGTAATTATTGCAGTTTTTTATCAACTGCAAAAATTACCTTGCAGGGTTAACTCCATCTCTAGTGGCTGTCTAGTAGACAGCCACTAGAGGGCACTTCCTCCTTCATAGCACAGAAAACCTGTGCTAGAGCGTCGCTGTGTGAGGACCTCCAGCGTCGCTCATTTCCCCATTGAAAAGCATTTTCAATGCTTTCCTATGGGGAGCGCTTATGCGCGGCATTAGGTCTCCCCAGCCGGTGGGCGGGATCAGTCTCGCCCACATGCCGACGTAATGACAGGGAGGAGCGGCGGCGGAGGAAGAAGCAGCGACGTGGGACTTCGTTGCTGCCTCTGGTAAGTTACTGAAGGGGTTTTCACCCCTTCAGCAACCGGGGATTGGGGGGTGGGAGGGAGAGATTGTTTTCATGGCACTGGAGTTTCCCTTTAATCCGAATCAAGTGGATGCCTTAAAGGGACACTGACTTTGTATCGAGAGTTACATCAATTGGCTAAATTGTGAACCTGTATAAATATTTTGCCACTGTAATGTAAGGTGTAATATTTATGGTGCGTGTACTATCCCTGTTTGTTAGTGCAACTTACCTCTTTCCAAAAAAAAAAAAAAACCAACCCTCATCTGCGTCTATTGTATTTGGAATCCTTTTTCATCTAATATGGAATGTTACTTTCAATCTCCTATAGTGTGTAGTGTGAAAAGTAATATGTGCATAATCAATATATTTTTAAATTATTTATTTTTTTTCCTTTCCCAGGAATGATTGAAACAGCACAAGTAGATGAACGTGCAAAAGGCAATGGCCCCAGTCAGTCAGGAGCTGCAAGGAGAGGAGTGCAGATTGTAGATGATGAACCACAGGCACAGAGCGTTGGAGGATGCTGTTCTGGATAATTGTATAAACTGTGTGCAGATCCCCCTCCCCACCCGTCAGGAAGATCGCCATATTTCAAGTCACATATTCTTTTACTATTGGAGTAATAGAATTTAACAGTATTTAAAGGGAAAAAAAAAATCCTATAACAAGGCAGAGACCAAGTGCTATACTAGTGGAGTTTGTGACCAGAGAATTGGCATTTTCTACAGCTGTTAACAGAGCAATTACCAATGGCCTTTTTACATATTTTTTTTTTTTCTTTCATGAAGAATAATATGCATGTAGAAAAGACCTACTTAAAGCTTCATTTATATTCTTTTTAAATCTGATCCTTATTTAATAACTTATGTAAATTGTTAGAAAGGTATGCATTTTTCTGCAGTCCTTTTTTGTATTTGGTGGAAAATTTAATTGGATTTCCTCTAAAATACAAATTGTTTTTGTTTTATTGGCAGATGCCTGTCATTCTGTTTTTTGCAGGGTTTTGCACATGTCCTAACTGTCCACTCTGATTCTACTTCGTCCATTCTGTAAGCTGATCTGGTAAATGTGCACTGTACATTAAATATTTTATCTGCTTTTTCATGTGCAGAAATATATCCTATAATGTTGTATGACTTCACAATTTCAGCTTTTTTTTTTTTTTTTTTATATATCTAGGAAGTTACACACATACCCATCGTTTTTGAATATTTCAGTCTCTTTTCTTCAGAAGCAATCCTTCAGCAATCTCGCACTTAGGCTAGTGACTCATTTGACTCCCTAAACACTTTACTTTCCTATAAATTGCTCTGAAAAAATATACTTTTTTATTTCATATATTTTTTTATTTTTTTTTAAACTTTACCCCAAACACCACTGCAGACAACATCAATTTGTATTGTAATTCTACAGAACTCTCTGGAAGTGCAAAATAAGGCATTGAACTGTACTGGTTCATGAAGACACATGCCATCGCAATTACTAACCCCAATGTGTTTGTTGTAGAATAAATCATTGTTGGTTGCTTAACAATGGTAACATCTACGTCTAGTTCCAAAATGAAAGTTTATCTTTAGAACGTATGTGTATCTTTATTTCTCTCTGTTTCACGTGTTTTGTCCTTTTAGAAGTGGCCAAACTATTTTGTTCTATATACACATTTGTATACATAACATTCAATTATTTGATGCACTAAGAACAGTTAATTTTTTTTTTTTTTTTAGGTGATGGTATTAACATTGTGGTTTATTTAGAAAAACTGTATATATTTCTTGTCTGTGTGAAGGTTTTCCTGCATTATATATTTGAAGATGAAACACATAGGTGTGTCTTTTGTGGTCAAGTGGGATTTAAAAGAAATGTTTTAACTTTGGACATTGCCATTGTTGAGCGCCAGTAAATATGTCTGATATATAGTTAAAAATACCAGTGCTGTTATGGTACCGAACATTTGATAAATCATGTTTAAAGTTATGGTTTAACAGTGGGGTACAGAAAAATCACAATCTAAAGATATTTGGAAACCGTTAGTTTCCAGAGCCATTACACCTGTAACTAACAAAGTTCTTGGACAAAGCACCACAGGCAAAATAAATTCAATGATTCTTATGTTTTAATTTTCTAATATTCAGTGATCTTATTTAGTGTACCATATATGCTGAATTTGGCTAACCTCAAATGAAAAACCGAATAGGCTGTGATATTAGTGCAATAATTACAATTCTGTAAATTGTTTAATTTGGTTCTGGTGCACATAAATTAATTTAGATACATATCAAAGAATGGTTAAAACTGAGGCATACATTAAAAAAGTTGCCATATTATTCATATTTGTACTTTATACCTTTTCATTATAGTTCATAAAAATATTATCAACTTACTAATCAATATGTCAGACCATGGACCCTGAGGTTTCAACAAACAAACAAAACATACCAAACCTCTATATTTCCTGCCCCTCTCTTCCCCTTAAAAACAAAACAGGAAATTGTGCATTTTCATTTTGCATGTTTACTCTGTACGGCATATAAATATTATTTGAAGCTACTGCAAGCCCTACATATCTTCCCCACACAGACTCTCCTCTGTGTGGCTGTCCAATCACAGCTTCTGTCTTATTAGTTGCCATCACTGTTACGTCCGGAGGAGGCGATAGGTGGTAGAGAGTATGGTTTCCCGAGGGGGGATATAGTTAGGGTTAAATTGCTCAAATCATTTACTCCATAAGGTAAACTTGTGCCCAAGGACTCCTGCACCCATAACTCCATTTAGATCGTGTTTGAGGGATAGGAATATCATTTTAAAGAGACATGACCGGCATCATAGAGATATATAATTAAAAATGTAAAGTGCTATCCCCATGTCTCATTTCCAAGAGAAGTGTTCACTTCTTTAATGAGTGATGGGGACCCTTTTTTTGTATTTTGTTAAACAAAACAAAAAAAACTGCCTGTGATTTGTATATTTTACTTAGGAGTAAGTCTAATAATAAAACTAAACAAAACATAAGTGAGGGATATTTGGAGGTATTTGAACACTCTAATGGTGCATAAAATGGGTGGTAACACAATACCTCCCGCGAGCAAACTTTGCTTTCATTTATTTATAAAGCATTCATGTTTTGCATTGCTGTACAATGGATACACCAACAAAAGGTAGGAATATAAAATAGTTCAATGGGTAATTTGTTACAAAAATTGAAAATTCCTGCCTTGAGATTTAAAAAAAAAAAGTTTAAAATGCTGTTCTGCAACATGCAGAGAAAATGGTACATGAACTTACACTAATACATGATGTACTTTCTAAAGCAGTGGTTCCCAAACCAGTACTCAAGGCATTCCTAAGGTTTTTTAAAAAAAAAATCTTTTGAAAAAGGGGAGAGAAAAAAAAACCAAAAAACACCCCACCGTGATAATCTCTATATGCTGGACGGGTAGGGGGTGACGACTGGTTTGGGAACTAATGTTCTAAGTGTTGAACATTGGCATTCTAAGTGATCATAGGTTGGAAGCAGTGTTTACCAAAAGATAAAGTAAACCGTACAAATAAAGTTAAAGTTTTCTTAGAAACCATGACCTGTAGCTGACCTTGTCCTATACTTTAGCTTGCTGAAAAGCTTTGTAGGTGAAGAGTATGTACTATTCCCCCCCCCCCCCACCCCCTTATACGTTTATAAATTAACTTTGTTACACGCCCTTGGCTTTCAAGTAGACAACGGGTTCTGTTACTTCCTGGTTTGGTTAGCTCAGTGGAGCTAAATTCAATAGGCAGCAATTGCCCAGAGCACCTAACTTACAAAGACTCATTGAGTTGCATTGGGAAGTCTGTAATTGGGCAGCCACAGAGACTGCGTGGGGTTAGAAGAGGAGGGTTTGTGATGCAGCAGATGAGAATGGCTGGTTTTGCAAGTTGGTTTTTAGATTTACCCCAATTTTTTTTAATTTTTTTTTTAAATGCATGCAAGTTTTCAGTTGGGGCATATCAGCTAAACAATTACTTTTTATTCATTTTGTATTTGGACAGCGGAGTGAACATTTTCCCCATAAGTTGTAACAAATCTATAGTGCACTCACCGCTTTGACTGGATAAAATTACCAGGTAGAAATGAATTTCTCTGACATTCTTTAGACATGGGCATATAACATCTGGTTTTCATTCTTTATTTTAAGATCTGTCCACTATTAAAGCAAGAGGAGGTACAGAAAACACTAATTATATACTAGAATCACTCCATACCGCTATGAAATCCATTATGGTTATTTTAGGAGTGTCCTCATGAAATACATGCACATCCGCCACTTCGATGAAGTCCACTGCTTTCCCGGAACCAGTAACAACGGTTAAAGGGACACTATAGTCACCCAGACCAATTCAGCTCTTTGAAGTGGTCTGGGTGCACTGTCCCTAGTGTATTTAGAGTTGCAATGTAAAACATTGCAGTTCCAGAGGATCTGCAAACGTTTACATTACAGCACTAGGTCCACATCCAGTTGCTGTCTGTCTGACAGCCACTGGAGATGTTTTCTGTTACCTGACTGAGTGTGCAAGGGACGGGGGAGGCAGAGGGAGCTGTAATGCCAGGAATACAATTTTGTATTCCTGGCACTATAGTATCCCTTTTACAGGATTCACCGGGGGGAAGGGGTGTACCGGGCACCATATTAATCGGGCGTGGGTACAGGACTACCCAGTTTGGGAGAGTGTCCTCCTCTCCTGTAAATCAATTCTGTTACGTCCCACTCAAGCCTCTGGAATGTGCAGTGACAGCACCAAGGTACCACCATGTCTGACCCTATACCCAAGTAGACTTTAAATTGTGCCCATCAGGCAAGCGAGGACCCGTGTTAGAAGCTGCAATTGAGGAGCGCTCTTAAAATGTGTCCAGCCACCATGAAGAACAGGCACTGCCCCCTACTGTTAGATTCTATTATAATTACACTTACTAGGCATTTAAAGGACCACTATAGGCACCCAGACAACTTCAGCTTAATGAAGTGGTCTGTGTGCCAGGTCCATCTAGGATTAACCCTTGCTGCTGTAAACATAGCAGTTTGAAACTGCTATGTTTACAGATGGGTTAATCCAGCCTCTAGTGGCTGTCTCATTGACAGCCGCTGAAGACGCCAGTGTCCATAGGAAAGCATTGAGAATGCTTTCCTATGGACTGGCTGAATGCGCGCAGCTCTGGCCGCGCATTCGTCAGATGACGGCAAGAGGAGGAGGAGATTCTCCAGCGCCGAGAAAGGTGAGGTTTTTTTTAACCCCCTTCCTCCAACTTCAGCATGGCGGGAGGGGGCCATGAGGGTGGGGGCACCCTCAGGGCACTATAGTGCCAGGAAAACGAGTTTGTTTTCCTGGCACTATAGTGGTCCTTTAATATGTACAGCAGAAAGGAACCATCTCACCCGTTCCCGGTCACTCCTTCCTCCATTTCTAGCGGGCTAGTAGAGAAGGATCAGCTGAAAAAGACACGTAACATGCAATAAAATGTACTAAACCACTTCCAGTTCTACTTCGTTCATCTGTACAATCAGTCTTCCTCAGGACAGCTAGTAACAGTATCAGGTAATGTAATTTTATATTAGTCACATCACACACCTGTCCTTGAAACCTAGCTCAATTTATGAAAAATAAGCAGATGTTGGTATAATTACACTTGCAGGGTTAAGGGTGATGGGAGTTGGCACCCAGACTACTCCAATGGGCAGAAGTGGTCTGGGTGCCTGTAGTGTCCCTTTAAGGATTTGCCATCCATCCCCTAGACCTGTAGTATAGGTGGTTTATTTTAGGAAACTCAACAGAGAGATACTGTTCCAAAGTGTCTGGTCAAAACGTTTCTATCGATCGTTTATCTTGGAATTAACATTTTTACTGTAGTGGTTATGGTAGCAGGAGTGCATGGAGGTCCCCTTTGTAAAAAGTCAAACCGTTTTTCTGCAAGGAACTGCTCCCCTGCTCCACTACAATCTCATGCAAAACATTTCTTGACCACATAAGTGAATCAAATTTCTTTGCTAATGTTCCTTTCAACTGTTTGACAATAGCAGCCAGTCAATTTATATGAAACTCCTGCTACTTCCAACAGACAACCGAATGCAGTGACAAATTCAGCTGAATAACTGAACTTGCATTTTGTGAATGATCAAAAAAAAAACAGATAGCATCTGCCGTTTACTTAAAGGGACGTTTTCCTGGCACTGCAGGTCCCCAATCCCTGGTTGCTGAAGGGGTGAAAACAGCGTGAGGACGTCCAACGAATGCTCTAGCACAGGCTGAGCATGCGCGCATTAGACCTCCCCATAGGAAAGCATTGAAAAATGCTTTCAATGGTTTCCTATGGGGATTTCAGCAATGCTGCAGGTTCTCACATAGCGTGAGGACGTCCAGCGATGTTATAGCACACTTTTCATGTCCTATTAGCACGGAAGTGCCCTCTAATGGCTGTCTAGTAGACAGCCACTAGAGGAGGACTTAACCCTGTTAGGCAATTAGTGCAGTTTAAGAAAAACTGCACTAATTACACTTGCAGGGTTAAGGGTAGTGGGAGTTGGCACCCAGACCACTCCAATGGGCATAATTGGTCTGGGTGCCTGGAGTGTCCCTTTAATACACCCCACAAGATGGGTTATTTACTAAACTATGCAATGTAGCAATTGTAAATCCCATAGGCAAAAATAAGCAATTTGTTATGTTGAAGAGTTATTTCAAATAATCTATTTAAGCCTGAATATTACCACTTGGATTTAATCTAGTACAATTTGGAGTTTAGTGAATAAACCCTAGAGACTCAAGTTATATAGTGAGCGCTACCTTAACAGTTCAGGGTTTATTTACTAACAAACAGGGTTATTTACCAAAGTGAGAATTCAAAGTGAATTTCAAATTTAAGGGGATATTTGCCAAACTGGACATTTTCTCTGTTACCACTGCTTACAGTTTAGCTGATCTGGCCTTAAATTTGAATTATCACTTTAGTGAAAAACCCTGTACATTCAGAATAATATCTACTTAAAACCCTAAAGGGAAAAAAAAAATAGTTCACTGCAATCTGAAGTGAACAATAATAATAATAATAATAATAATAAAAAAGCCAATAATTTGTGTCTGCCATAGCCTGGCTCTTGAAGGATAATGGAATACAATTCTACTGTTTGCAACCTGTAATACAGCACTCCATTTGCTTGGAGACCATGATGGAAAAAAAACCCCAAAGCCGATGCCTATACACCACGAATGCCACAGACGATGGTGACTCTAGCGTTTAGATCTCCGCGGTGTTCGCTGTGTCACATGCCCGCACGCTGATTGGTTCCCGCACGGTGACGCGCTGCCGCCCGCGCACCACTCAGCGGCTGCCGTGTTTTGTTGATGAAGGCACGTGATGGGGCGCGACGTCATCATAAACACTTGTAGGGAAGATGGCGGCTCCTGGCCCCGGGAAGGTAACGGAAAAGGTGAGCGGTGGTTCCTCCGGGGACCAGGAAGTAGGAAACAGGCACATAGTGGGCTGGTGTCCCCTTATGTGGGGGCTGTGCTCTTTAAATACATGTGTTACACATGGTTATCATTAAAGCTGTCAGTGATAGAGTGCTATACCTGCCCACACCCTGTACCTGTGTAGTAATAATAATTATTATTACCTGCCCACACCCTGTACCTGTCTAATAATAATAATAATAATAATAATTATTACCTGCCCACACCCTGTACCTGTCTAATAATAATAATAATAATAATTATTACCTGCCCACACCCTGTACCTGTCTAATAATAATAATAATAATAATATATCAATAATAATATTATTACCTGCCCACACCCTGTACCTGTCTAATAATAATAATAATAATAATAATATA